TTACTCTGGGGACCTGCAAGACCCTCCATGATTTGGCCTCAACCCCTCTCGTGAGAGTTCTCCCTTCTCTATTTATCCGATGCACTACTCGCCATTTCTGGGCCCGATCTACAGACCTTTGTGTCAGAAACTTCAGCCCTTAATTTCCACTTCGCCTGTTAAGATGCCACTCATCTATCGCTCCGTGGCTCCTAAAATGGCTGTAATCCAAAAGACAGACAATAACAAGTGTAGGCAAGGATGTGGAAAAATTGGAAGCCTCATATACTGCAGGTGGGAATGTAAAATGGTACAGCTGCTTTGGAAAACAGTCTGGAAATTCTTTAAAAGATTAAACACAGAGTTACCTAATGACCCAGAAATTCCACTCCACAGTCTAGGGTATATAAGCCTATGCAAAAATGTGTATGAAAATTCTTATATGAAAAAGATACTGTATTATTCTGAAAACAATCTTCCTAGAGGTCCACTGGCTGATGAATGGATTCATAAAATATAGAGTATCCCTCTGTTGAAATATTTTTGACAATTTAAAAAAAAGGAAACACTAATATATGTAACAACATGGATGAGCCTTGAAAAGTCTGTTACATGAAAGAGACAATAACATGTCTGACATACATGTGTTAAGTCAAAAGTATAGCTATTAGGGCTCCAGTTCATACATCCACGGATTTATGTCACGTTAAACCCGTCTCTGCAGTCTGGGGATGGATGCAAACAAGTTCTCTTGGCACAACACTTGTCTTAGTCTCATTGGGGTGCCTAAAACTAAAAGAAAAATTTAAAAAGTCCAATCAAAGCATGACTTTTGGAGGGATCTATCTGCCAGTTCAGTTAAATTCAAGGACTTTACTCTATAAAGTTCACCCAAACAATAAAATTAGAAAAAACAACCTGATTTTTAAAAGTCAAATATATAAAATGTGTATAACAGGCAAATCTAGAGAGACAGAAAATAATATGAGCTGTTTAGATTTGGGGCAATGGGAATTGACTGCTAATCGGTACAGGGTTTCTTTTGGAGTGGACTGAAATGCTCTAAAATGAAACAGTAGTACAAGCTGCACAATACTAGTTAAATAGTATACATTAAATGAGTAAAATTTAATGGTATGTGACATGTCGCAGTAAAGATGTTTAAAATGAAAAAAGGCATTCCTCCTAAGGGGCCCACTTGCTTTGTAGTACTCTCTCTGACCCATCCGCTTCACTATTTACACTTCTAGCTACA